TGTCAAACAAAATAAAGGAAAACATCAAATGAAATTGATAGATTCAATGGCTAGGAAAAATAGGTGAGTGATAAAAAAAGTAGCCATCTTCAATGTTGTTAAAATCATCTGTGTAGTCAAGCCTGCAAGAACAAGATGAATAATGAGTCGAATATTCAACAATTTTGTTTAGGAAATTTACAAAATGATAACAGTGAACAATGCTTACATAAAATGAGAATTTTCGACTTCAGGAATTGGAGGATCGAACAATATTTCAGAGAATTCTCGACCAGAACAAACACGTATTTCATCTGTACAATATGGAAAATTATATTAGCTACAATTGATATAAATATAAATTGATATATGGTTGGTCGATAGAATGAGAAATAACCTCCATATCGACACATCTCCCAAAATCTCAATACACAGAAAACGATTTTGCGACGAGGAGTGTTTTTCCATAAGGATTCAAAATGTTCAGCATCTCTTCCCCACGCTATGCAATTGATGTCGACACCCCTAAAAACCAGAATTAATATATCATTTTCTTTAATATCGAGAATATGATAGTAAAGATTTATATATGTATTAGTCTTTGTATCAATGGATTCTTACTCGAAATCTCTAATTGTAAATTTTAGAACACTTGAGTTGATTCTCTGATTTCCGATCCAAAATTGGTCTTGACGTTCCAATTGACAAACTTTGATAATACCTCCGATCAAATCAACTAGCATAAAGCAATATATTCATATAGTTAAGTAGAGTATTAATTAATCTAATTGAGTATAATAAAATACTAAGAAAACATACCAACGTCTATGTTTTCCATCAGAGATTCGTCAAGGACTCTTCTAAAATTAGCAAATGAATACAACTGGTCATCTGATTTAGGCGATGTCTTCTCAACATGAGTATCCTCATCGATACAGATATGGAGACCATTGACTGTAATCCTCGAAGTTCCCGTGTGTGAAGTAATTTTGAAGTTACCAATGAAGTACCAATCTTTATCACACATCATGCCTTCATAACGGTCTACTAAACGATTCTGAATCGATGCATGTATTCGATCACCCTAGATTTTCAGTTAAAAAATAATGATGGTATTGATAATATATTAAGATTCAGACATTATGTTATTTTTGAAGTTATACTTACATTTTCGTCTGCGAATATAAACGATCGCTGAATACCGTGAACACCTAGACTTTCCTCGACACTCTTGATAAATTGAACACAGATAGAAGATCGATCAGATGCTATGCCTAAATCAGAAATCATCGTGCAAGGAGACATTTTTTTCAAAAATAGATGCAGTCATTCTCAACAATGAATAGAAATAAACGAAGTTAGATTACAAGTAACAAATGGGTATTACTTTAAAGTGAAAACCACCGCTACGACAACCAATAGTAGTTTTTGCAATGTTTTGAAAAATAACGGTCATGTTTTCCACCGCTAATTTAGTTGAATATATATATCATGTTTTGTTATAATATAATAATTATGAAAATCAATAATAGAAAGCCTATAAAAATTCAATACAGTCATAAATAAAACATCACTATCAAGAGTCTCTATTTATGTTAAGCTTCTATTAAGATTTAATATATATCGAGAAATTTTCAAATATATATGATGAATTGTATATCATTCAATTTTTAGGAGTTATCTTATAATTTCTTTTAAATTTGCATAAACATTCTTTTGTTCAATGTATATATAAATACATAAGTTATGCATAATCTCAGATATAAAATTATATTATACAATTTCTTAAATATATAAAGCCCGCGCTTGGCGCGGACAGACACGTAGTATTAACAAAATCAGATGTCATTGCTCCTCCTCCGTGGTGGATTCGCAGAGGATGTTTTGGTTGGAATCTTCAGTGTATTTGTATTCTGCCAGACCAAAAGCCATATGAGTATATAATTAAGCATTTCAATAAGATATAAATAGAAAATTTGAGATCAAACTTACATGCTATTCTTTAGATTTTTCAAGATGAGTCGGTTGAAGATCTTTCTAACATACTGTTTTACTTAATTGTTTGAAAATTTGTAGCAGGGATCAAATGATTCATCTTTGATATTTGTTTGAAGGATTAGGGCCTTATTGTCCCTTCCTTGCCATTGTACAGGGAAAAATAATAATCACGATGAAGCGAACATCACAATACAATGATTCTTACCTTTTGCCTTATTTTTTTTTTTTTTTTACCTCTTACCTTTTGCCTTGTCTGTGTTTTCTGTGTGTTTTAACTTTAGTCTTACCTTCAGGTCTTTTCTTATTCTCTTTCTTGCCACATCATGATCGCTTCCATCATTCTCATCACTACTCCGGCCGGACCATTACTGTTTTTGTCCTAATTTCTCTTGCATCATTCATGTTACTCTCCCTTGCTGACCAATCTATGTCCCAAATTCTGCCCTCACCATCTCCAATCCCAACAATTCATCACGATCTATTCCTCTTTTGTCTATGTATTAGCTATTATTATATTCATCACCTGAAACCCTTGCTGACGGCTTCCATCTTCCTTCTCTAGTCCCAAACAATTATCATCATATCCACCTTATGAAATTATATCTTTCTCTCCCACCGTATATGAAATTACAATCTCTTCACTATCATCGTGTACACCAAAAAAAAAAAAAAGAGGCTTACTAAAAATTGCTACACCATATATTGTTTGGAAAACAGTCATCAGAGTTAAGAGTACTTACAAATAGATGTGAATTAATCGAAGACATAAAAAAAGCGTAGAAGCTAGGCCCTCAAGTTAGGGTCGTTATATGTGGACATTGGAAACATGGTTATCAGTTGATTAAAACCATTTATGACAAAAGGCATGCAGGAGACATGAAGGCAAATATATAATAAGGATCCAGAAAGCATACCAATTTCTTATTAGCTTCCATGATGTGATATTGTGATTCAGAGAACATTTTATTACGACTACTTTTGCTGAACATAATAAAATTCAGCTAAGTCAAGCCAGAGTTTATTCTAACTTCAACCATACTTATGGAACTTTAATTTTACATCTCTTTTTCTTTTGTAACATACCGTGTGAACCCCTCGGTTGATCCATGGCGCTCCAAGGCAGGTTGAAAAATGTTCCATGCCATGGTTCTTTACCAGTTTAATGTACCTTCAGAACAAAATTATATTAAGTGATCGCATATATAACTCAGCTGAAATGGAATAAATAACATATAAGAATGGGTCTCAATTTTATGAGCTAAAGTGGTTTGACTCAAAGGTGTCTATCCCAGATGAATACATGAACGGACGATGGTTTTGTATTCATACTTCAGTTGATCAACTAAAAAACAGCTTACAAATTATACAAAACCATGAATGTAAAACTCAATAGAAACCTGCCAAATATCAGTGAATTTAACTTTAGCAGATGTCTTTCATTCGTATCAAGAATAAAGAGAAGCTAAACATTGGCTTCAAAATATATCTTGTTCTCTTGTTCATGTTTGTCGCTTGCTTACTTCCAGATGTGCTCACCCATTCCACTCATGCGTTCACCTTTTCTTCTGAATTGGTCAGCGTCAAAACCTTATTTATCATCCTGCACTCGATTCTTCTCAAAACCAGTAAATTGGGGGTGATGCATCTACATGAGAAAAATAACATAAATTCAATATTACTCTAGATCTTGGCCCTTACAAACTTGATTCTACTGCAAGTGGTCGGCATATGCTACTTGGGGGTCGCAAAGGCCACACTGCTCTTGTAGACATGATGGATTTTAAGTTAATCAAAGAGATCCAGGTTGGTTTTTTTTATTTATTTACTTGATTATAATATTTAATCCGGGCTTGTTATATTTGTAGTATTTATGATTTAGATCTCAACAGTACCTGATGTTGCATTCCTGCACAATGACCAATTCTTTGCAGCTGCCCAAAACAAGTATGTATATCTTCACTTTCAATTACATCAAGAGAAAGGTCTACATTCCTTGTATTTTAGAGGGTGCTTGGTCTAATATCTTAACTTGTTACAGGTAATGCTTATATGGGAACTGAGCTGCGTTGTCTAAAGGTGAAAATTTGCGCTTTTCGGTTGAAAGAAAGAAACACATGCCTAGTGTGGTCTTGGTTATTGACTTCAAACTTTGTCTACTTCAGGAACATGGTCCAGTGACCAGACTTGGGTTCCTAAAGAACCATTTCTTGCTTGCGTCAGTTAACAAAATTGGGCAGCTACATTATCAAGACGTAATCCATGGTGACATGGTGGCTAGTATCCGACTAGGTAAAGGCCGGACAGATGTAATGGAAGTGAATCCTTACAATGGTGTTGTTGCATGCCTTGGGACATTCTGGTGGAACCGTCACAATGTGGAAACCCACAAGCCAAGAACCTCTAGTCCAAATGCAGTGTCACCCTGGGCCAGTCTCAGTCAGAACGGTTTGCTAGCAGCTGGAGCTGGATCTTTTGTTGAGGTTCTGAGAGATTCGAGTGGTGGCTCTTCACATAACTATACTAGATACATGAACCACTCGATGGGGAAAGGTTACAAGATCGAGAAGCTTATGTTCAGGCCATATGAGGATGTTCTCGGGATTGGTTAGTGGTTACTCGTTGGGTTGGTCTAGCATTCTAATTCCATTTGAAACATCGAAACAGAGACGAGAGAAAGAAGTCCATTTGCTTCTTGATAAACTTCCACAATACGAAAAGAAGGAACAAACCCCAAGCAAGCGGACCAAGAAGAAGAAAGAGATGGTGGAGAACGCCAAGAAGAGAAGATTCGGTGAAGATGCTCACAAGTTTGAAAAGGTTTGCCCGAAAAAACTGATTGTGACGTAAAACTCAGACAAGCTTTGTGGCTATGTCTGAGGATTTGTATTCTTATCTAATTTTGTTTCCCTTTTTTCTACTAATAAATAATGGTTTCTACTGAAGAAACTTCAACATTCACGCACGGTTTAGCAACCAAAAAAAAAAGAAAGAAAAGTTCATGTTTTTTTTTTGTTTACTTTTTTCCTTAGCATCAAATGTAAGTGTATTTGTAAACTGTAAGTATAATTACACAATAGTGTATAAGCATTTGAGTTGTGCCAATATAATACCCCACCACTAATGGATTTACACTATATAACAATGATGTGCAATAAAATCGTTATGGAATATGAAAAATCCCAAATATATGTCACTAATTCCACTGTTTCCTACCCTAAGAAAACCGGTACAATAGTAAGCTCTCTCTCTTCAATTTCACTTTTACCATTTTGCCTTTCAACCATCTGAAAGACCAAAAAAACCATTCAAAGGAAAAGAAGTTCCAAGTGAGCAAGCCAACAAAACATGTATACATATGTTTCATGTTTGGTCTGGATAATGACAAGAGATAAGTATGATGTCTAACTCACCTGTAATATGGTTGGAAGGTGAGGTAGTAAGCTTAGGCAGACTTCATATATGAGATTCAAAGATATACTTATTCAACTTGAAAATTTCTGCAGTGTCTTGGCCAGCAAGATCGCATTCCCTGCGTTTAGCAAAGAACAATGTTTCATATTGTGATGCACACAGAGATATCCCAAGTGCTTACATAGGAGAAGAAGGCTAAGCCCTTACCGTTGAGCTGCTCTCCTTCAAGCTCTCCAAAGACTCAGCGAGTTCAATTTGTTTTGACGCCGTCATATACATAATATCCTATATACATAAAATTTCTATTATTTTTAAATATATTTCCACAAAAATAAATTAATTATATATTATTAAGTCTTGTGTATAAAAGAATTTGTACAACAGCAAAATCAAGATCTAAATAGAATCATTATTAACTAACAAAGATTGATAAAATATTAAAATAGATTTAAAAATATATAAATGATATCATCTTTTTTAAAAAAATGAAAAAAATCGGATGTATTTTTTTTTAAATAATGACAGCTGACGTGGGAGATGACTCAATATTTTTGGACGCTTTAGCTGACGTGACAGCTGACTGGGATTGTTGAATCAGTACTGTTACTAACAGATTTACGATCAAAGTTGGATTCTGCTTAAATTCAATAGTTTAGATAGAGAATTTGAATATTTTGGTAGTTCAGATAGGAAATGATATCATATTTTAGTTCAGATTTTTCTCAGCACCTCAAATTTAATCCATGTTGATTTTGGACCTTTTCCCCTGTTGTAATGTTGATTTACATATGAAAGAGTTCATTTGGAACATTAAAACATCTCCATCGGTTAAAAATTCTAAAAAAAATTCTCAAAACAAAAATATTATTATTTTAATAAATTAAAATTATATAATTAAATTTTGAGCTCATTCGAGACCAGCTAAGCATCATTGGCTATAGACCAGCTAAGCATCATTGGCTATCAGAATCCATGAGGGATCTAGTTATTTCCCTGTTCCCCCCTTCCCCCCCCCAAGAGGAGATTGGTTAGAAACGGGATGGACCGCAAACTCAAAAAGCCTTGTTCATCTTAGCTGAGTTAGCTTTCTCTACCCTACTAGTAAAGAAAAAAAGAAAATGCGCTCCTGCACACCAGCATATATATATATTTTTTAAAAAGTTACTCACTAATAGAGAAACAAGTATTTCATGAGTATCTTATGGGTATCTCAAATGAGAAGTGCTTCTCACATTTTTTCTTTGTTTTTCATTATTTTCTATTTTTTTTAAATGGTGAGATACCCTTTTAGATACCACTGATGGAGCTGCTCTTACTATCTCAATACTAAGTATCTAAAATGAAATTTTAAATTGTTTTGGAAAGAAAGATCAAATATTTTTTTAAAAAATAATTTCAACAGTAGAGGATAAAAATCCTCAAAAAAAACTAACCATATTTTACAACACTAAACTGAGTAAACTCTACCCCAACCACAAATTTCAATTGGTTATAATTGTATTTATAAATTTAGCTAACACCATAAATAGAATACCAAATAAGTTAGAGTAACATGTTTTTCACACATAAAATATTATAAATACTGCACACACTACTGATCTTTGTAAACCATATTCTATACAAAAAATGAGTCATTCGATATTTTGTGCTTTAGTTGTTATTTTTATGTATTTTGGATTGAATGAAGCTGCTACTACTTGTACCACAGCTCGTATAATAGTTACGAACCTACTCAGTAATAATATTCCTCTTCATTTTCAATGTCGTGGTAGTAGTTACAATCCAACAAAGAAAACTGGAACAAGAGTTGATTCAGGAAAAAAGATTTTACGCTTCAATTATTCTTGGAGTATCAATTTTTGCGATGGCAATATTTTTTGTGATTTAAGCTTTATTCAGAATGGAAAAAAGCATTTTCTCAAGAGCTGGCAAGTATATAGGGAAAGCAACAATTATTCTTCAAGTTCATGGAACAATTATTTTACTTCATCTAAATGGATTTGCAAAAACGATGGACTTTACCTCTCTTTAGATAACAAACCGGCTGCAAAAGTTATTAATTGGAGTCAGAGCCGGCTCTGAGTTCAAGCAGAGCAAACCCATGATTGCGACTTTTTTTTTATAAACTAATTTTAGCTTTTAAACTAATGGATTGTCCGCGTTATATGCAATTGTTTGTTTAGTAACATTTATATAATTTTTGTTGATTTTTATTTTGTGATCATATTGTAGCATTCGAGGATCTTCTATTTTATTATTTGAGAAATTAGAGTAATAAGTTTCCAAAAAATCAATTTATGTATTTGCACCTAAGCATTTTTGAAAACAAACTTTTGTTGTGCAAATTATTTACAACATATGTGATATTCAATTTAAAATGTTTTTAATCTCTTTAATTCCTTATAGATTGAGATATATTTAAAGTTTCTGTAATTTATTAGTAGTGCTTAAATCCTCTGTATTTAAGGAACTAATTTTACCACTATTTTGTTTGTATATTATATACACCGTTTTTTTTACAACACATGATTTTGAAACGCTAGACGGAGCATATTGGATATTTTTATTAGACTTTAATTATTAGTTTGTAGTCGTCTGAAATCTTTATTGTTCACTACAAATTCAAACAAAATTGGCTCTTAGCCTAAGATATTTAGACAAATTATTCAATTGTTTCTCGATAAATCACACAATTATAGAAAATTTAAAGTTCGAAAAGTGGAAACCAAACTGAGAACCACCTCATAAAATGAGCGGAACTCTGAAACAACCATCTGAAACATGTTCTAATAAATATAGGTCCATGCATCTCTGTAAACAACTTTGAAAACCAATAGTATGACAAATAAAGAAGGTCCTAGATTTTTGAGTTAATGCATATACCATGAAAAAAGGTCTGACATATATTAACAAAATCAGATGTCATTGCTCCTCCTCCGTGGTGGATTCGCAGAGGATGTTTTCGTTGGAATCTTCAGTGTATTTGTATTCTGCCAGACCAAAATCCATATGAGCATATAATTAAGCATTTCAAGACGATATAAATAGAGAATTTGAGATCAAACTTACATGCTATTCTTTAGATTTTTCAAGATGGGTCGGTTGAAGATCTTTCTAACATACTGTTTTACTTAGTCAAGTACCTCTAGTCCAAATGCAGTGTCACCCTGGGCCAGTCTCAGTCAGAACGGTTTGCTAGCAGCTGGAGCTGGATCTTTTGTTGAGGTTCTGAGAAATTCGAGTGGTGGCTCTTCACATAACTATACTAGATACATGAACCACTCGATGGGGAAAGGTTACAAGATCGAGAAGCTTATGTTCAGGCCATATGAGGATGTTCTCGGGATTGGTTAGTGGTTACTCGTTGGGTTGGTCTAGCATTCTAATTCCATTTGAAACATCGAAACAGAGACGAGAGAAAGAAGTCCATTTGCTTCTTGATAAACTTCCACAATACGAAAAGAAGGAACAAACCCCAAGCAAGCGGACCAAGAAGAAGAAAGAGATGGTGGAGAACGCCAAGAAGAGAAGATTCGGTGAAGATGCTCACAAGTTTGAAAAGGTTTGCCCGAAAAAACTGATTGTGACGTAAAACTCAGACAAGCTTTGTGGCTATGTCTGAGGATTTGTATACTTATCTAATTTTGTTTCCCTTTTTTCTACTAATAAATAATGGTTTCTACTGAAGAAACTTCAACATTCACGCACGGTTTAGCAACCAAAAAAAAAAGAAAGAAAAGTTCATGTTTTTTTTTTGTTTACTTTTTTCCTTAGCATCAAATGTAAGTGTATTTGTAAACTGTAAGTATAATTACACAATAGTGTATAAGCATTTGAGTTGTGCCAATATAATACCCCACCACTAATGGATTTACACTATATAACAATGATGTGCAATAAAATCGTTATGGAATATGAAAAATCCCAAATATATGTCACTAATTCCACTGTTTCCTACCCTAAGAAAACCGGTACAATAGTAAGCTCTCTCTCTTCAATTTCACTTTTACCATTTTGCCTTTCAACCATCTGAAAGACCAAAAAAACCATTCAAAGGAAAAGAAGTTCCAAGTGAGCAAGCCAACAAAACATGTATACATATGTTTCATGTTTGGTTTGGATAATGACAAGAGATAAGTATGATGTCTAACTCACCTGTAATATGGTTGGAAGGTGAGGTAGTAAGCTTAGGCAGACTTCATATATGAGATTCAAAGATATACTTATTCAACTTGAAAATTTCTGCAGTGTCTTGGCCAGCAAGATCGCATTCCCTGCGTTTAGCAAAGAACAATGTTTCATATTGTGATGCACACAGAGATATCCCAAGTGCTCACATAGGAGAAGAAGACTAAGCCCTTACCGTTGAGCTGCTCTCCTTCAAGCTCTCCAAAGATTCAGCGAGTTCAATTTGTTTTGACGCCGTCAAAAGGAGCGCCTGTTCACAACATCAAATCCTGATTAGATCAAATGAATCTTAAATTGGGGACAGGGAAAATGGGTTCTACAGTTTACCTTCTTTGTCTTCTGTAAATCGTGCTCAATGGATTTGATGCGGTCTAATGAATCACGAAGTATATCTTCTTTCTCTTGAGGAATGTTTCTTGGTTTATCAAACAAAACTGTGACCATGGTTTCCAGATTTTGCAACCTCAGCCAACATGGATGGAGAGACTCTCTTCCTTGCACGTGAGGAGGAGTGGGAGGAACATGTTGCTGGGAGACGGAAACCGTTAACTCTTCTGGTCTCAATTGGTTCTCTGGTTGCTTATTTACAAGTCTTCCCAAGATCCGGAACATGAGACATAGACACGCAAGTAGCTGGAAGATAAAACGAGCCAACGAACTTGCAACTTTCTGAAGTGACTTCTTCAAACTCCTTTCTTCCGTCAGAGTACTATGTAATTGATCTGAAGGAAAGTGTTCTAGAGATTTTTAGGAACTTCTCTAAAATAAATCATGACATAAGAAGTGGGAACATTACACCTACTTGTTGAATCAGACTGTACAACTCTCCCAATACCAACTGCTTCAGCTTGATTTCTCAACTGTGCACGTTTGTCCTGGAAACATAAGATATTAGACCATGATGAACAAAACAGAGGAGCACCAGACGATGTATATATGTAAACTAACATGTTCAAGATGTGATTCGCTCTCCCTAACTTGTCTTCCATCAGGTGATGATATTTCTGTGTTCACATGCTGCTGCAAGAAATGGGAAAGGTGATATTAACACAGAAAGTATTAAAAGCCAATCGTTGTATAGAACTAACTGATACTCACCCGTAAGGCAAATAATTTAGCTACTTCCCCATTCTCCGGGAGATCTATTTCTTTTGTTTTGTACGTTGCATCTCTCGAGCGAACTAGCTACAAGTATGTTGTGGAACAGAGATTTTATCATAATATGCTTTTCAAGAGAGACCAGTGTCTACACAAAAAAAAAAAAAAATTGAGCTGAAAAGAATCATACTTTCATTATCTCCGGGTCATTCCAAGGCCCCTTGTTAAATCGCATACATCCACCCTCATTTGGACACGAACAGTTTCCTCCCAGAAAATCGGGAAGCTCACTGTGTAAACAAAGCAACAGAGGCTATCTGTATCAGCCTCGAAACAACTAAGCAAAACTGAGTTATACAGTAGAAATTCTGACCTTGGATCTATAATCTCAAGAAGGTGACTACGATATTTGTTTCCCAAAACCTGCGCAACAGCCAATGTACATTGTTGGAACACCTCAAAAAGTCATGTATAAGGCTTTTATATATATGTGGAAGATGAAATACATGTATCTTAGAAGTAGTTTTAGGGTCGAGAAACCCTTTCACTGTGTTCCAAACAAGCTTGAATCCGCTCCCAGCATTAACGATGTACATCTGATTCAATGTCTGTCTTCAATGAACCAAAAGCAATGTTAGTGTTCTTCAATAATGAAAAATGGCATTCAAATAACTTTCAGACATACACCCACCTCAGGATAATTGTCACCATCGATTTTCTGCATGCGCATTACAAGGTCCTGAGCTAGTTTTCTAAAGCTCATCCAGCTCTGCATCCAAAAGGAGAAGCATTTAGAAAACTCTACTATAACTTAGGTTTGAGCAAAGGAAGTTTAAAAGGTACCAACCACTCCATGCACATCTATTATGGTTGTCGAAGAATTTATATGCCTCTTTGCTGCGATCGAACAAGCCGGAAACTTCTCAGAGAAAGTCTTTTCAAAACCCTGTACATGATATCTCAAGAAACGCTCCAATGTGGTAACCTTCATTAGCTTGCAAGGGTCAATTTTACCAAGCCGTTCAATGTAGACAGGCCGGCCTTCTCTGTCTACACCATGGTAACCATGTGGATAGTATTGTTGTACTTGTTCGTACTCATCATAAACAAAATCCTGAAAGGATGATTTAAAATCATTTGCCAGTTAGGAAACAGCAAAAAGCCTCCCATGTGGGAAGATTCTTAGAGAAAAAATCTAAACTTTTTAAAAGGGTTTTTGTTAGCAGAGCTCATAAAACAACAAATTCTCTTTACCAACTTCAAGGAAGGTTCTTAATTCTTAATCCTTCACCTGCATTATGGTATCAACTCCATTCTCTTTCCTCCACTTTAGCATCTCTTCCCACATATGAACAGCTTTGTCAATATCAAATCTCCTCGCTTTCAAGAATCTGCTAACACAAACTTGATCAATGACAAGTCCTAGATACTTAACTCAACACTTTCACCTGAGATAATCTTGACACTTTACCTCAACATTGTGTGATAATCATCGTGCCAAAATGGAAGCAAATCTAGAGAAACAAGAGCTTTTCTAAACATATTCACTGCTTTCTCCTCTTCTGCATCTCTCACATCCTCGATCACAATCGCTGCGTACTGATCAGCTACACGTTTCCCTCGTTTCCTCAAACTATGTGTCAGTTTCGTCGAAGCTTTGATAGCTTTCTTCTTCAATGATCTAGAACGAGCTCTTGGGAGCTTCTCATCATCTGAGTTCTCAGTAATAATGTCTTTACTCTTTCCTCTATCAGTTTCTGGAACCGAGATTATCTCGCCTAAAGCTGAGAGAAACAGATCAAAAAACAAAAATCAGAAAGCTTTAAAATTTATGTAAATGCAAATCAGATTTTAGCTGAAAATGTTACCTGGCATTTGGTTAAATCAAGAAAGTGTAAACCTCTGTATCTGCAGAGAAACCCAGAAAAGCTTAGGAATCATAAATGTAGAATTAACGTAGATTTAAACTCAGATTTATATGAAATCGACGAGGAAGGTAGAATCAGAAAAATCGGAAATTAAAAATCAAATCCGAAAAAAAGACAGATCAAGAAAACGAGAATCATGATCTCTCAAAAAAGATCCAGAAACGCAGAAATGATTATCAACACGAAAACGATGACATTATTCTCCACGATTTTTCAATTCCTTTACCTAATAATCGATTTCGTAAAAATCTCCCGAGTATCAAATCTGATACGTTTAAACACTCTTTAAAATTTCCCGATTTAGGTAAAGAAAGAAAAGCTCTCTTTTTCTCTCTCTCTCTATCGCTCTGTATCTCTCTTCTTCAAAACAAAAACGTTGCTTTCAGATTACGAAGTCAAATCTCTTTATATACACGACAAATACATATATATAATATACGTATACAGTTTTCCTCGGAACGTAGCTTGGAGAAAGAAGACGAAGCGTCGTTTTCAGACTAACATTAATGCGAAGAAGAAGAAGAGAGAAGCCGGTTATGTTCGCCTTTTTATAGCCTCGAACCGATTTTTAAGTAGAGAAGACGAATATTAAACCGGAATCGAACGTAAACCGGAGATTGGTCAAACCTTTGTTTTTTTTTTGTCAATGCTTCGAGATTTGGAGTAATTTTACGTTACGGCTAGTCAAAGTTAATTTAACTTTTATATTTAACGGCGAGATAAACGTCTGTTTGGTTGGTGTTAGCGGTGGTTACGGTCCGCGTAGGCGCTAAGCTATAAAACTAACCATAATTTTCCATTTTAACTGTTTGGTTATTTAATTTAGATGTGGGTCCACCGACAGAATAGTTTTACTCCATGTTATGTCCACTCAGAGTTAGCCACGTGGAAACGGCCGACGCAGAATTGGGAGAGAAGTGCCACGTAGCTAACTTTAGGTCCAAAAAGGATAGTGACAGATAGACCACGTGAGTTCATCAATTCATGGCTGCATATGAAAGAATAAAATCTTTTTTTTTTCTTTTGGTCATGACCTGAAAATATGTTTTTTCTTTCAAAATATAATTATTGATATACTGAAAAGTGAAAACACTAAAGTAAATTTTTGATGAATTTTAGAGTTTGAGATTTTATTTTTGATTATTTGTGTTCTAATTCTAGTGTCATCCATTTATAGATTATGAAACTCTTTATAAATCTATTATTATTAGGCAACTATTCGCGGCACGCGGACATAATTACTTATACAAATTTTGCTACAATTTGATCATATCAAAATCTTTATTTGACATATTTTATAATTTTTTATCAAATTTAGAGAGTTTTTTTCTAACATATACATGACATTCTCCATTCTCAATAGTTGAAACTAAAATATAATATATCTATAGATCACGAAAATATATTGAATTATTTATTTTCCTAAATTGATTTATATATGTATAGCTAATGTGTTAACGTTATTTAACAATCATCTACACTTATAAATAGATATATATAACAAATATTATAAAATGATAACCAAATGCAAAGAAAATAGAATAAAAGAAATATCAAATAAAATAGAAAGATCAAACATAACATAATATAGAAAATCTTAGCATGAGAAAAAAGAAATGTAGCTATAAAACGATAATATGAAAACATAACTCCATTAAATCTTGTTGCATGCAATCTAAAGAGATTAAAACTAAAACTCCATCATAATCAAACGATCTTGTTCAGGGGTTCCTTTTTGTGCTTGTTCCAACTTGCGTATCCGTCATGTTAATACTTACATTTTTATTTGATAATACTTACATTTTTCGTCGACTAAAATGAAGTTCATGCTTGGTAAGCCTTGTCGATCGGGTTTGTTCCATCTTTTCAAAACTTTGACACGGATTTTCCAGTCTCGTCTCCATCCATGCAACTCATCAACAAAGTGATACGCAGCCATTGAGAAAGTGTTTTTAAAAAGGAAAAAAAAGGGTTGCAGGTAAAGATTGCTTTGTTGTTAGTTTTTATAGAGGAAGAATATTTGCATGCATATAAATGAGGATATATATAACGTCTAGTCAACAGTTATACGGTTGTAGATATTTAAGGGAGAGGGTCGGTGAATCGATGCCTTTTACATCTTTTCATAATTTATAAATGTTCAATATTTGAAAAGTTGCAACTTATGATGAAGATTGTAGAGATATTATTGGTTATTACTGTTTATATGTTAGTAAATGAAGTGTCGAAAGTTGTTTTAACATGAAAATATTGAGCCCATATGGTGTATATAATTTGGGTGCAACATAATTAACCGTTTATATCAAACCGATTCAGGTTTTCTATTATATTAACTGGTTAAAATTATTTTATTAAAATTTTGGACCCTTATCGTAATACTTGGAATTGAATTTAAAATTGTTAAAGACTATACTCTTTACAAATTTTGCTATAACTTGCTAAAATAAATTTGTTTTTGATATGATTTTAAACGACACATCACATTTATAATAACACAAAATATAAAATAAAAATAGGAAAAACAAACGATACTAAATCCTTAATGAAAGAAACTATTATAAGTTTCCATTTGAAAAGAAATTTATAATTTAATTCATAAGACTTGATGGATACGCATCATATATATTTGACTAATATAAATCAAATCTATTTATAAGCTTAGTGATATGTGTCATTTAAAAAAAAAATATTTGATACGTGTTAATTAAATGCATCCTTATAAAGAACATTTAATTTATATGACTGTTAAATAGTGAACCTAATTAATAATAGTCATCATACAACGATTGGTGTTTTTTTAAGGTGAAATTAACTGGTGCCTTAATGATACACTTGTTCGTTATCATGTATAAAATGACGAAACGATACACTTTTTATTATACAGAAAAAATAATTTTTAAACTCAAAAGTCAATACAACCGTCTTCTCATTTCTCATCAACTAAAAAATATCAACTAAAAAATGTCTCCATGTGAACGTATCTGTGCTGAATTTAACTTCGAAGAGTTCTTGCATATGCATTCAGGTTATCAAAATTATCATCGAATACATTGGTTTCAATGCATAAAAAAATGCTTCTCTTGGCAGATGAACATGTAAGTACATAATTGCAATACCATATATTTTAACGAAACGGTTATCTAACTTTTTAATATATTTTGGTCAAAAGGTGATAGAATTGTAGCAACAATGCCCAGTAAATTAGTGGATCAGTACAGTACCGAATTTCTGAAAGGAATTGGTATTTATTCATAATTTTGGCGTCATACATGATCTACGTTTCATCAGTTGCGGTCTTCAACAAATATCAGTTGTGTTTCAAAGAACATACTCGCATCCAAGAAACATCATCAGTTCTCAAAGATCATCTATATTAATTCATATCGTTCAGTGAAATATTCAACACTCCATCTACACGCTCAAGGATTGGTATGTTTCATATACAATTTGTTTTAGACTTATTTAGTATTTAGATCTAACCATAGTGATAAATTTTAATTTTATAGTTGACTTGATCGGAAGAATTATCAAAATTCGTAAATTAAGCGAGCATGCCGAGACGAAATATGGAAGATGCCATGCTGATTCACAGATATGCATCAAGTTTGCTCTTAGAAGTTTTGAGTAAGTAAACATGCCAGGTTTTTCATTTTTTTAAAAAAATACACAAACTTAATTTTTTGTATTAGAGAATATTAGTTAAAGTTTTTAAGTGACCATTTGTTTATGTTCATAGATGTGTCGATATCAAATGTGTGGTATTTGGCAAAGATGCTATTGATTTCGAGGCGCTTTGGCTAAATATTGAGATGCGCTGCGCGGGTATAAATACTTTATAATTTTATACAAAATAACATACTGAATTTATAGATAATTAGCTTGTTCAATTATTATTTTTTAAATTCATTACTCTTTATACTTTTATTAAATTATTTTGAAATTAAAAATTCTAAAAGACTTCTATAAACATTCGTTATAAATCACTTCTATAAAATTTATTTTTAATCAGTATTTATAACACAAAATGTAAAGTAAAAATAGAAAAAATAAATGGTATTAAATCCCTAATAAAAGAAATATTAATAAGTTTTCCTTTTTAGTATATTCTCTAAGTAAAAACTTTCCAAAATGTCTCAGATCTGCTTTTTTAATCCCAAAACCCTCTTTTTTTACCGGAAATAGCTAACCATCCCCCTTTCCTTCAATCCTGACGATGGAAACCTCCATGGATTCCCCCTGTTTCTTCTCTGATCTGCTTGTTCTTCCCTCTCTCTGCTTGTGTCTGTCAATGTTCAGCTCCTAAGCTCTTTTCACATCCCATCATCAGCTCTCTCTAGCTCTTGCTAAGGCCTCCCTCAAGAACAAAAGCCGTTCAAATTCAGGAGTCCAAAGAAAGTCTGCTCTGTTTCAATCATTTTCAGACTTTGTTTGCTATACTCCTTACCTCCTAAAGCCCACGAAGATGCTCCAATCTCTCTACACAAAGGAGCAAGTCTGAAGATCTAAAGGAGTAAAGCTTGAAGACTGAAGACCTCTAGCCTTGTGCTAAGCTTTTTTCATAAACTAAGTCTCCTTATTTTTTGACCACCAAATCTTCCTCTCTGCGTCTTCCAGTACGAATCTCTGCCGCCGCCGGAAGCCATCATCACATTTTTATATCAAGCCGCTTCTCTTATAAGCAAGGCTGAAGCTTTCTCTTTTTGGGAGGATTTAGTTGTTCTATCAAAGGAAAGAAGAAGAAGGAGAGCGCTTTGGAATTCTCCCATCAAAAAAAAAAAAAACAAAAACTCAAAGGGGTCTGATCGTGCATCTCCAAGTGTCTCCTCTTCTGCTCAGAACTTGTTTTGGTTTTCCCCATACTTGAAAAATTTCTAGCTTTTGCTAAGATTATATTTATGTGAATTACTTTGAAGTTCCCTCTTGCCTTTGTAAAGCTTGATCGCAGAACGGTTTAAGCAATCTGAGTTTGAGACAAACAAAAGGAAATAAAAATAAAATTTCAAATCAAAGGAAATAAAAAGGAAAGCTTGATGATCGCAGAAGACGTCGTGGCGGTGGATCAGATCAGTTTCAGTGGTGGCGAAGATTCTCTGCTCCGTAATAGCCATTCATCGTCATTCATCGGCAAGGGAAAGGGAAGTGCACAGGGTCTGGCCAAGCCCAAGAAAGGAACAAAGTGATAGACCCAAAAAAAAAAAAAACTTCAAAAACCGAAAATCAAATATATCTTTTCATCTTCTGGTTCGGGTAGAATCCATAACCAAGCAAACCGTCTAAAGCTCTATTCTTAGATGCTGATTTATCGGAGGTCAAAGCAAATTTCCAAATCTCGGTGCGAGAATTCGTTGAAGAAGCGAAGTTTTTAGTTAAAGC